AGATCATAGTAGATATTTTGCAACCAGACTAGGAGTTCAATCACAACTAAATTGTTAGATGCATGTATGACAAATGTGTAAAACACGCACAATGTAAGATACAAATGCGATGAGAGACTTAGAAATCCATTTTTTGGAACGTAATATATGTTACCTGCACAACGGGCTGTAGTGGTATAGCTCTGGCACCACAAACTACGAAGAATTCCCTATGCCTAGCACCTATGCAAATGGGACTTCATCAGAATTGAATTTTTGGTCCAGGATAAGGCTGAGGATCCAAATTCATTTCATTTATCGAGTCCAATTGCAAAAAAGTTATGTAGCTAACTTCACTTAGAACAGAACCTGTTGTGGGTCATTGGAACGCACTCGTATGTGTTCCACAGATATGAATATAGGTCATATTTTCCACTACCTCGCTGAATCCCTCCAGTGCAACACCAAATAGACAGCCACAACATGGAAACAAGAGAAGCAGAGCCATTAAAGGAGGAGGTCAGGAGGGCCAACTACTTACTCAAAAAGGCATCCGAGCCCCTGGTTGATGGTCGTTATTTGAAAAAAAAAACAATTTTTTTGTTAGAATTTGGGTGTGAACAGAATTCCTTATTGAAGTAATTGCAGAATTCAGTTTGGAATGCTATTACAGTCCTATGTCAAATTGAAGTTCTATTTTGAAAGTTCGTTGAAAGTTGAAATTGATATTGGACTTGAAGAAGAGTTCATGATGAAGAAAACAACTTGGAACGAAAAAGAAAAGGAAGAATAGGGCAGAATGCCCGGTGCTGTAGGGCACCGGCACCCCTGTTCGGTATTTTACCCCGAACGTCAGGGCACTCGAAGGTGGCGCCGCGTCTATTCCGAGATTTTCGCGTTTTTCTCTTCTTTTTCGTTTTGGATTTGATTTTTTGGCATTCTACTTCAACAATTCTACTAGAAGAATTTGGACGTCCCTTACATGTTCCCTATAAATATTAGATTCTTCTATACAATTTTATAATGTGATAATAGAGTAAGAAAAGTAATTACTAGCTTTTAGGATCATTGCAATATTTCTCCTCTTCATTATTAGTGGTGCAATTAAATCTCATAATTCATCTATCATATTTTCTTATCTTCTTTTATTTTTTTGATTGTGATCACATTCAACATCTTGGTTGGTTTCATATCAATTGGTATCGAACGATATGTAATCCTTGAATTCCCAACAATTGGTATCAGAGATTTTGGGTATAATTAACATAAGTAGTATCAGAGCCTAGGTTCAGCAATTCCGCAGAGCGCAAGGTTTGATTTGTTTGAGGTTTTTGTTCGTGATGGCTTCCATGAAGTATGACATTTCTCTTTGGAGCACTAGATTTTTGCTATGGCAGGTTAAGATGCGTGCAGTACTCTCACAACAAGATTTGGATGATGTGTTGCTGGGAATTGACAAGATGCCCCGCAACTTTGACCGCAAAGGAGAGATTACAGAAAGATAGAAGGTAGTTTCTCACATTCATTTTCATCTATCGAATACCATTCTTTAGGACGTTTTGAATGAGGATAAAACGCTTTTTTATGGTTGAAGTTGGAGCAAGTTGCATTTTAAGCAGCGTTTATACTCTCATCGAATGACAAAATGAGGATCATGGGAAGATCACCTGGCTATATTTAAAGAGATCGTCACTGATTTGAAAACTTTGGAAGTAAAGTACGATGAAGAAGATTTGGCATTGATACTCGTGATATTCTCACCATTGTGTTTGTTGTTCACTTCGTTTTGTTGTATTGTCATGATACTCTCACCATGGAGGAGGTATATGATGCTCCGTTTTAAAAAGAAAAGATGAAGCATCTCTTTTTTGAGGCTAGAAATTGAGAAGCCCTGGTTGCACATGGTAGATTTGAAAGGGGCATATTAAAGTCTAAGTTCAATAATTAGATTTGTAACTTCTGCAAGAAGAGAGATATTAAGAAGGATTGCTACAAATTGTAAAATAAAGAAAGGTTGGCTGCAAGTCGATATGGGAAGCAATCATAAACTTCAGGTAAAACAGACCTTGTAGAGAACATTGTAACTAAGGGAGATCTCTTGGCTATTTCTGACATCGAGTCTAAAGCAGAGGAGGATTGGATTCTGAATTCAGAGTGTGTGTTTCATATATGTCCTGATAAAAACTTGTTTATTACATATGAAACTGTTTCCAAATGTCTTGTGGTTATGGGAAACAACGCACGTTGTCTGGTTACTGGAATTGGTACGGTCAAATTGAAGCTATTAGATGAGACAATTAGAACACTTGGCTTGAAGAAGAATCTTACTTTCTTATCTATCCTTGATTCAAAGGGTTATGAGTTCTTTGGTGGAGGTGGAGTTTTGAAGGTTCGTAAGGGCCCAAGTTGTATTGGAGAGACACAAAATGTCTCAGTTATACATCTTCCAAGGTCGTGCAAAATCCAGAAGAGTTAATCAGCACAGGTTTAGTACCGTAGTGGACATTCAGTTTGGTACAATACCCTTAGGAGCGATTTGAAGAATATAGCTCAGTAGAGTTTGGGAGATATGGATAATGTAGATTTGCCACCATCACTTGTGGTGTTATTGTATTCAATTGCTAGGGACGGACCGAGTGGAAAAAGGTATGTGGATGCTGATTTTGTTAAGCATGCTTTCAACGTAGTGAATTAGCCTTCTTTAAAACATTTGGGTTTGATTCTGTTTTGGGGTGTGTTACAGTTCAGTTTGGTGAATTTTAAAATCATT